AGTTGCTGTTAAGTGGGTGACCACAGTATTCGTGCCTTTTTGGGGTTATCAAGAGCTGCTAAATTTGGATGGACAGCAATATGCTTGACATTTTAAGCACTGTTGCTAACGAGCGTTCAGCTGTAGCCAATAATTTGGATGTCAATGTCGTCATGAAATACGTAATGGCGCATCCCAGTGAAGGAGTCAAATACAGGACAATTTTTAGGGCGTTAAAAGCAACAGTAGTGGAAGCGAAGATATCATCATCATAGCAAGATGCAAACAGAAATTTTTTGATTGAACTTGGACTGGCTGTTATCATTTGGGATTTGGAAGTCTAATATATGCAAATGGTTCCCAAGTCTGGTCGAACTTTCACCGTCCGAAAAATTTCTGTTATATTAATGAATAATATTCATTTCACTTATAGTTAAAGACGACGGAGGACTTCTATTGTTAGATGTGTATATTTGCTTGGTTAGTTGCTTATATATGAGTGATAGGCAATGCATCAAATGCTTTTAACAGCATGTTAAAAGGCATTTCATTCAAAAATATCCATTCAATGCTTTGAGTTGTCAGTGACTGCAAGATTCGTAATTTTTAAGCTTTTAGGTTTCTTTCAACTCTTCTGTGCTTTCAACTGTTCAAAACTGCGCTTATTTCTTGTTGTTGCCTTTGCTGTACCACCAGCTTGTTTTGGATCTGAAAATTCAATGCTGCTGTTTCCAGTAAAGAGATTTGCGAAAATGTATTGGTATTGCAGCTGATAAGGGAAAGAAATATTTCTTTATAATACATAAATACAGAAATTGTTTCCGCCAACAGTGCGAAAGTAATAATCGGCTATTATTCTGTTTCCTAAGTCACTACTGGTCAGAAGAAACAGCGAGATTTAGAAAACTGAAATCCTTGTTTTTCAACTATCGTTTCATTCTCTTAGGTTCTTTCACTCGCGGATTTGGTTCATCAAGAACCGAGACAATTTACTCTTTAATCTGACTTATTGTAAAATATTATTTGCAGAGTGTGGTATCACCTTGATGTTATACATGAAATTTTTTTGTTTGACCTTACTTAATAATCGTTGGACACTAGACGAGCGCGAAGTGTGTGGTTTAAGCACTAAATAGAGGATTGATTGTTGTAATATATATCCACTGTTTCCTTTAATGTTTTTTCTTCAATCATTCAAAAAATTTAAGTCCTTTTGTATTAGTCTCTCTTATTTAAAATGTTCTTTTTTGCGAGCAGTTTGTAAGGGTCCACGATTACTTTTATGATTCCAAATTTTCATTATCATCAGGGTTGAGGTTTGTTAAATTTTAGGTATATATTTACGTTCAAATGTCTGAACGAATAATTCGTGAATCACTGAATACGGTGAAGAAGATTATGCTCAATGATATTTCTGGAATACTAACTGGAACGGATGTACTATCTTGTCAGAAGCAATTTACCAAGGTATGCACATTACTTAATTGTTATATTTTATGGAATCAAAAAAAATTTATATGATTTTTCAATTATTTTATAAATCTTTCTTTTTATTTGTCAATTATTTTATGTTC